ACTGCAATGTGCTGCAGAACTTTGCAGACGACAACAAAAAAGCCTACAGGAAGACGGAACAGAGATCAACAAAGTTTGTTAGACGATGGGGAAGATAATCTGGTATCTGAACCAGCCGGTGAGAAATGAACATTCTGGTTTTAAGTCGAATCTTCCCGCTCTGCTCCCGGTGTGAAAATATTGGATTTTACTGCGGATAAAGCAACAGGATATACATGAAATAAACACAAATAAATGCCTTGTCCTTACAAAACTACCTTTAACGTTTGTGAGAAATCTCCGTCTGCAAAGTACTAGTTTTTCACCTATTGGTGCCCATCGGAGAGGCAAAGCCGTGGACTGGTCTCCTTCATACTGGAGTGGCCAGCACGCTCTGATGAGCTCACTTCGCATATCAGATGCCTTGAATAAAAAGCTAGCCACGGTCAAGGATATGAACTGTTGATGAGCTCTGATAGAAGCGAAACTCGAGTTGGATTTTTCCTTCTTTGATGTAGACTGAGGAGAATAAATGCGCAAGGACAGAGCGACTGTTCAAACGAAATTGATGTGAACGTGAGTTCGACAAATCCCTCAAGTACTTACAACTAAATCGATCCTATATTTTTAGTTAGAGACCAGGCACGTGTGAGATTTTTTCCACAACCACCTACTCTATATTGAAGGCGAAGGGGCTGATAGATGTAAACAGTGATAATGAGCAGACTAGTCCAGATTTCAGATGAGTCACAAAGATCTGAGCTGACAAGGCAAGCGGTAACAAACGACCATATGCGGCTAATGGATCGTGAAACGCAACTGACGTCTTTGATGACTTGAGTGCTTCTCCGCAAAACCGGATCGTTTTCTAAACAACAAAGCGGAACATGTGGCTTGTTTACTCTATGCAGGGAGAATTTCGTTCTAATCGTCAACAAATGATGGGGAAATACCAATAAAATTGAAAGGTTCAAGGAAATTCAAGCAATACTAGACACCGCATACCTTGAATCAACGTGTGTGATTTAATGCTCTACATAATTCAAAACCACATGTTTGTTCTTAGAGACAAAGGAATGCCCTATTTAGCCATGCAACAATACAACGTCCTCAAACGACAACTTGCTGCTCTGTGAAAATGTGATGACGCAAAAGAATAACGGCGTTAGTTCCTTTCGCAACACTGTATGGAATGAAACTCGGTGCTTCCACCGTCAGTCATCTGCTTCTCGCTTTCCTTCCATATAGGTAAAAATAGATTATCACAGCAACACAAAATGCGCTATTCAGAAAGCACGTCACAGAAACAGATAATCGATAGTCTGAGCAGTCGCGTCTTCTGTTTGACTTTTGGCTGACGAAATAGTGGGGTAATTTACTATTGAATGTAACAATTTGCTCAATGAAAAGTGTTTTGTCATCAGAAGAGAGTCAGAGAAATATTACTGTGCAGGTAAAACTGATCGCCCTGACACGACTCACTGCAATGCATTGTACCGCCTTGCTGTGTGAAAAGTATCTTTCGTAGTTTGATGCACAAAATTTTGGGAATAAGTTGAAATTCTTTGAGTTACCTTCTATATCTATCAATCACATACACCAACGAATTTCAAGTTTTCCAAAGTTTTTCTAAACTTTTTCATTTATCAAGATATCTATGGCAGATATAGCTCTTTCTCATAGCTGTTTCCGCCAGGTATTTGGTTGTGAAAGCTTCTAAGGAAGCATATTCTTGCAAAATATGTCAGAATGTCTTCACGATGTATGCTGTTTTCCTCACCGCTTAATTCCTGGAATACGTGGACAGGTTATGGAAATTGAATTTTGATAATGTCGTGTGAGGTCCATTAGAATGTCAGTGATAGTACAGGTACAGGGGTCCCAAAATAATTCGTTGCAAAAAATTGCGCTCTGTTATGCACTTCATATCTATCACAATAAAGCTGCCTTATTGAGCCAACAATGCTTGCTGTATTGGACTATGCAATGGCCTCCAAACCGCTTCGTTATCAGGCGTTATGATCCATTTTAAATGCAAGTTGATGCGTTGTGACTGTAAGAACTAAAACGCGCATTTACATTTTAGGTTTAATACATTGGTGTTTTTTGTAAAGAAAGTAATCTCTAAATAAGTCTAGCATCGAAAATTTCTTGCCAGGTATTATATTTTAATGTCTCAAAGAACAACTCCAACCGGTAGAGGTACTACAGTTTCATCAATTTCACGAAGAAAAAAGGTAATACAATTTCGTGGAAAAAGTGCCAATCAAATTCAATAGAAACCGCATTTACTTCACTCGAGTTTTAGTGTTTTCTGCAGACATTGTTACGTTTTGACCCCTGGTCAAATCAGCGTTTGGCACAGTTGGAAACGGAAGACTGATTCCAGAAAGCATATGAACTGGGTCCAAAATATATGAAAACTCACAGAGTTTGATAATTTAAACCTCGGTTTGGGCTACAAAGGGACTTAAATTTGGTTACTATTGTTGTTTGTTCTGTGGGTCGAATAACAACCCGACGTTCGGACAGAAACCCCAAGACTGCTCAAGGCACACCCATCTAAACAATATTCAGATAATTGAGACTCTTATAACGCGTTAGCGATTAGGCGTTTATGCTTATGTAAAAAAGGCGAGGCCTTATCAGTAGTGCCATAAGTATTAAGTATAAGTAAGTACAAGTATCCGTTTCTTTGGAGGGGAGAGGAATAGTAGGATTATGTTCATGGAAGCGCGAAATGACAAAAGCCTTGGCTTACTTCTAAGTACCTACTCAATACCTTCATACGAAATGTCAGAAGCAAGACCAAAATCTTTACTGACCACCAGACACATTGTCTCCGAGTATATACATCAAGGATTCAGTAAGTTTCTGTCTTGTTGACGCAAGATGGATGACCAATCAGTCTGTCGATGTGCGAGGTGTTTCATAACGTAAGTGACAAAAAATTGCATGAAACTGGACAAATTAACGTTATGCCACGCAACTACGGCTAAGAAACCCTATTAATACTTGTATTTATGGGACAGTGAGGAATCTCTGAGTAGTGGCGTTTTTGGCACCTACATATTGGCGATCGGTGCGTCACAGAGATGAGTCTAACCGCAATTTTTTCTTAAATGGGCTCTCACAAAGGAGCCTTTCTGGCATCAAAGTTCTTACGCCCTTGGTGAGAAGGAATATAATTCCAGGACACGGAGCGTCATGTGAACTTTTCTTTTAAGAGTCATATGAACGAATTGGGACTAATTATCTTGAACGTTTTGGAGAACTTCGGCCGCACCATTAAAAACAGTGGGTTGGACATATGTTAGGCGTCCCGGATCGGTGTCTACCAAGAGTTGTTTCCCCCAGGTCATCCTTTGGAAGAGCGCATATTCTGATATAAACGGTGACTTGAAAAATGGTGTAAAAGAGATTATCAAGCGTTTGCTCTCTATTTATGCGTCCCTCCTTCCAACAGGGTTTCAAGGTACCACCCTTGGACTCTGTTAAAGATGATGAAAAAGATGGCGTCTGACGGATGTCAATAGTCCCCATTCTATCCATTTCCTTTCAGATTTTCTCATTAGGCCTATGAAGATGTAAGTACCGCAGAATTTAAGCGCCAGATCAGCTCAAGACATCTTCTCACACAGTCGTCGCTGTTCTGACGTTTAGATTTAAAATGTAGTAACCAGTTTTCGTGGTTGTAAGGCTGTGGAATGTCAGCGTCATTATTGTTAATGCTCTCTCCGGTGCTGATGATGTGTATAATGATAAAATTAGTCAATAACATTTACTTTGTTGTAATTATCGCGTCGGAAGATGAAGAGCGATTCTTGTTCATCTATTCTGACAGCCTACTGATGACCAAATGTTATGTTTAAGGACCCTATTTCACAACTCAGTGCAATAAACGAGATTTGCTTTTCCAACTGCATAGATTGCTGCCATTAAGATTTTGAGAATTTCCACTTTCTACGTGTTACAACGCCCCCACATTGTGCGCGCCGAGTTTGCCACATCTTTGAATAAGTGTCAGCTTAGTAAAACATCCGCCTGCGTACAGGTTTGTTTAAACAAGAGACGTTACTAAATTCCAGTTGAATCTCTTGTCTGTAGTATTCTCTGCCTAAACATGCCGCACAAAGACAGCCATGTTTGCCAATTGGTGCGATAATAAATGGTTTTATGGAGATTTCGTCCTAAAAGTGAAGTCAGTCTATGTTTAAAAGCCGAGAAGCACTGTACAGCTGTTTCATCTTTACTAGAAATCATCAATAACGCGCATCTCATGAAATTCTTGAGAATCCCGAACCCGCGACGTCCTAGCTAGTAGTTTGAACACTTAGCCGTTCGGCCACGGGCGGCTGATCAACAGTGTGATAAACTCGCACTTGAAGAAGGTATATTGCCGCTCTTCAGCATTGGTTGGCTTCACTTACAGGACGAAATCTTCACAAAAACTAAATCTTCCCTTACTACCAACGACATTCAATGCCTTTGAAGTACATTTTCTAGACAAAACATACCAGAGGGTATCATAAACGAGGATTCATTCCCAGTTTAATTGAGACAACCGGTAAAACCTGATTATTTTGCAAAATACCAGTCTTTAGCGATTTGCGGCCGTTTGCGTTTATGTAGAGCATAACTTCGTCAACAATGCGGAAGGAACTACCTTTATCTGGTAAATTTTTAAGAGTGAAGTCGTCTTGAGCTTTTAAGCAGATGTTAGCAATGTTATGAATGGTGTTCCATCAAAGAAGTGAGGGGTGTCTTGCTAATTTGAATTTTTATGGAAGGTATTGTCTAACGTCTACACCAAAGTATACAAAGAGAGTAATCCATCAGCAAATATCACACAGGAAGGGATAATCTGGGTCTTAACCGCACAAGTCGTACTGCAAAGTTTTGGAAATATGTTGCTTTCTGTCAACAATTCAATGTAACTGATGGGGTCCCGGTGAAATAATAATAATAATTTTGATGTGCATCATGTTGAGTTACTTACTACAGTGTACCATTTTTAGCAGAATTAATTGAGATACGTTAATTGCGGTGGACGAACAAATGGCTCCGTGCTATCCTATCGGACTTGCCTGGCTACCAATTTCGGTGTCGCTGTCCCTGTGCATTACGCAACTCACTTGGTAAGTTACACTGAGAGTAGTACTCACGTGTAACCCTATTTTGGTGGTCTACTTCACATAGTTTGAAGTAAAATTATTCATGCCCCAGACGGCAACACTACAGCCTAAGGAACCTATTTTACCTATCCCAGTAATAATAATACAGTGCATTTGAACAATAAGCGATGATTTTCGGGCTATTCAATATGTCAGGAAAACTTATCTTGGTTCAGCCTGTTATGCGTAAGACTGCTGTGTCCATTCCCACTGTCTTTTGGATATTTCACACATTTTTAAAGGCTTTATAGTGTTTGATGCAACTGCTAACGAATAATAATGTTGTTACCTTTGGGTCAAGCCACGGATTTCTCTTCAAAATGATCATTCGCCTTTTTATTTTATTTTCAGCTACTATGTCTCTAAATCATCGGCTCACGTGGTCACTGCACTGCCAACAATCAGGTGAGGCATTGTACTTTGAAAATCAAGACCAAATTTAGACAAAACAATGCAAATCCTTTTCTGTTCCGTTCCTGGGAAAGATAATATACGGTTTATGACTTATTTCTTACCTCAATCCATAAAAAGGATCGTCATGTATAAAATTACAAACCTTTATTCCAATAGAATGAGGTTATTATCTATTCTTTCTCGAAAAACCTTTTGTGGGTCACTACAATCCTTCCATTCTTGAGAAGATGAAACTAACCGAAATCTACTTAAACTCGAATTTTATCCATTACCAAGAGTTCTAGACTCGAGTTTTTCCGTGACAAGTAGGAAGGCTATCAGACGCATGTTTGACTGACTAAACTTACTAAGCTACCCTCGATTTTGTTTCTTCTGGCTTTTTATACGTGATATTCTGCACGTAATTTCTTGAGAACCCATAGCTAGTCCCACTGTGCTCAAAAAGACTTGTGCTTTTACCGACGAGTATGTGCTGCAGTTCAACTGTAACAAACCGAGGATTGTTTTCAAAAATTGACCACATTTTGTTAAATTGCAAGCTATGAAGAGTTTAAGCTCTCTTCAGGCACTCTTTGGTATTCTGGACGCTTGAGTTATTGTGCAACTTATAGAAAAGTTCACGATACCTACGCACGTATCAGTTCAATTTAGAAAAAAAGCTGTTTTGTATCCATTGTTAATTGCAAGTAATAGGATTGTCCGAGTGACATTATAGCAAAAAATCGAACGCCCATAATGGAGACACATTGCACAATAACTCATATTTCTGGATTTACTCACAGCATATTCAGGATAGTAAGACAATAACAGTCGATCAAATTTCCGGGCGTATCATAGTCTGACGAATTGAGTGTAACAGATCAAAAGGGAAGATTTCTGAAACAATGAAGCGTCTCAAAATTTTGACTTCATTTGAGTTCACTTATGAGCCAACGCCCACTCATCCGTTAAGAAGTTATTCTACTAATAAAAATAACCCGTGAATACTGACCACCCGCGATTCTGAATTATGCTTCTTTGGGAACGGCCTTTGCATAAAATCTGCAGCTGTTACAGCTCACCTAAAGGACGCATAGGTTTTGAAAAAGGACGAGTAAAACCAATCAAGAATCAGGTTTTAGTGGAGAGAAGAAAGCAAGCTACGGAGTTTTTTTGGACACCTTTTGAATATGGAAGAATATTTTCTCACATAGATTCGGTAAACTTGGTGCAACGGTGGACAAAACTTGGTTTTTCCATTCGAGATAGTAGCTAGGAAAAAGGGAAATGTGGTTTTTAAATTATAAAAAAAGAATTGGTAGCAAAGAGTTTCTGTTTCTTGGTAGATTTTATCGTTATTTTTTTGCAGAAAACGGAAAGCTTTTTGTCAAAAGCAGTTTTGCCTAGTCTTATGTGCCTAGCTTCAGGAGAGAAGCTCATTTTCGATTACGTGATACAGAGTTTTAGAAGACTATTCTAAGAGTCCTTGTGACAGAATGCGAAAACAAATGCAAAGCCAAAAACAATGTAAAACATAAAGAGAATCAATTCACGATTGGAACTTCTATCTGAGAAGTCATCACTCAGAGAACCAGTCAACAGGTAATCAGGTGGTGTGGTTTCCATGAATAAAGAATGTGTAGTTATATCGTTAAGGCATTAGTTGTTCTCACTAATGATCAACTGCTCCCGGTCAAAAGGCTGGTTGTTTGAACGACGAGCCGAATTTGTTTGGGTTTGGGACTCCTTAGAGTTTCTTGAGGTGATGTTTTCAAATAATGATGACACAACTGTATAATTCTTCCAGACCAAAAAGCGCTCCAGTCAAAGGATAGAATCCCAATGGAACAAACAGAGACGTCTTTCCGTTAGCTTCAGAAGCATGCCGAGCAATGGAACAAACAGAGATGTCTTTCCGTTAGCTTCAGAAGCATGCCGAGCAGACCTAGTTCACAAACAATGATTTGCGATGTAGAAAAAAACAGACAAGTCTAAAAGTGTTTTCATGGTTGCGCACATCCATATCTACATCAACATACAACTGAAAATTGAACAACAGTCTCTCCGTCAAGTAACTATGAGTTACATTCCCTTCTCCAGCGCTACTGGATCTTTTCCTCCGGAGAGCTGCATATTTTCTTTGGGGATCACATTGGCGGCAGCTTTTGGTAAGTTGGTTATGATGACTGTGTTGTATCTGATCCTCAAAACAGCTCTTCAAAACATGCTTAGATGACGTCATGTTGAAAGTATTTCTTGAAACTCCTCACGTACGGTTCTATCATGTGGGTGACGTCAAAAGCAGCCTGCGATTACAATTTCAAAGAAAACTAAAAATCATAGTCGCGTGCCTTGCCTTTACTCTTAATTTTGCAGGTCGCCTTGACCACATTGGCGTTAGTTATAGGCAACCACTTACTTGTGTAGAAACCTACATACTCAATATGATGAGATAATTCAATCCAGTTTTTAGCTACTTGTGTAACTACTAACAGAAAGCCGAGGGAACTAATACCACTCATCTGTTTATGAAGGAATTGTATGAAGTTCAATTGCTTTCGGGAAGGATCCGACTGCTCACACTTGTCCAAAATAGCCAGATGGTATACGAACCCGCATTTATTAGCAGTATCGATGTGTACTTGCAGAGTCAAGGTTTGTAAACAGAAAAATAAGGAAGTTTTGCCGTACAGCAACAGAATGAAGTTATTAAACTGATGTGACAAACAAGATGATATCCGAGGTAGAAAAATAGGCTCGCGATTCAATCTGTCAGTGTATACGCATTAGGATTTACCGTTATTTGCTAGCTTTTGGTTTGGAATCTGTGAAAAATTGTGGAATGGCCTTGAGAAAAGTTTGGTCGGCCAAAACCTTTTTGATTAATCTTTTGCATGAGTTCAAATGGTTGCAAATGGCGAAGTCAGCCAGATAATTTCTGATCAACCTACTGCTAGTCACTTATTAGGCCACAGTATCCGAAAGATTTCACATTCTTAAGGGCCGTGATAAAGCAACGCGGTTGTTATGCATATACCTACTCAGAGTTGAACCGACCTCGATGGTGCTAAGTAGTACCACTACAACAGCGACTTTGAGAAGGGGATCTTTGTGTTCAGTTGCCACGTGAGAGCTTCATCTTTCAAGCAGCAGGATAGGAAAACGTCATTTTATTTGCATAAAACTTCCATTTACAGGGGTGGTAATGACTTACTAATATTCCCGTAGAAGTCACTGCACAAAAGTGTATTTTCCTCCGAGAGCTTCATCTTTCAGGCAGCAGGATAGGAAAACTTCATTTTATTTGCACAAACCTTCCATTTGCAGGGGTGGTAATGACTTACTAATCTTCCCGTGGAAGTCACTGCACAAAGGTGTATTTTCCTCTGAGCTTATACTTTCGACACAACTTATCCAGCACTCGTTTGTTCAGGTTGATCTTAGATAATGCACTGCTTGTCTATCAGAGCATTTTGACGGTGCAGCATCATTTTCTTTGAATAGTCACTGGACACCCAGAGCGCATTAGCCATGTGGCCTAACCTCCTAAATCTTTCCAAATTAGCTCTGCTTGTAAACGACCACTACGGCAAAGCCAGAAATAAATAGCCACACGTTAGAAATCTTTAGTCTGGCCCTTCCATAAAAATGGGGAAGAATGCATTTGTTTTGTTTAGTAGGGTTTAACTTAGATATGGCTTTAGATGACAAGCTTCATTGAACTTCCCAGCCATGAGGATTTTCAGCGTGGTAAAGCCGTTTCAACTTGCCCAATTTTGAGGTCATCGAGAGTTCTTAGTCCTGTCGTCACCTTGAGTCTGCTCCATCAAAAATTCCTCAGCAGCAAATTACTCATTTTGTGTGCACGATGCACGACTATCCAGAGGACAGTCTTTTGTTTTCAAAATTGATGAGATTTTCTTTGTATCCCCCACCTTTCTAGACTTCAATGGGCTTAGAGAGCGGATGTATGGAGGTGGATGCTGGTGAAACTGGAATGCTTATTTGAGCTCCAGATTTCCAGACATTCTTCACGGATAATGTTAAAGTGATCTTTTCAGTTAAATCCTATATCGCGAATACACTCTAGACCAGATATCTTTTTCATTGCTCACGAAACAAATATGTCGATCCCGTGTTTAAAAAAACTAAGATAAGTTTGTTTTCACTGATGAATGGTTAACAGAAAAACAACAAATAAGATTAATGTTAAGATGACACTATAAATTTATTGTGGTATATCTAGGTTAAAATTCACAATAAATTCACCCCCGGGTAATACGTATGTTCTTAGGGTTAGTAACGCTAGTCTCCATAACTGAAGTTTTGTCCAAGAACTGTTTGAAGTTGCTTCATTGATTCTACCGGTTGGAGCCAGCTGGGCTTAAATACTTGAATTCTCACTGTCTTTAACCGGAAGCGCTTTATCAGTATGCTATATTTCAGAATCGCATATGTTTGTACATTTGTGCATGTGTGGGTAACAAGCCTGCTTTTTCGCTCACTGTCAGATTCTGATGCAACTGAAAACACGTCAGTTTGAAGATGACCACGTCAAAAGCAACGCTATTTAGTGTGTAGCTTTAGTGCTTGTCACACCAAATTGTGCAACATTGCTAAAAACTACAGGCGTGCACATCAGCAATGGAAACTAACATGGTATTAGAAAGAACCTTGGAACCAGAGAAAATGTACTTGACAAGGACCCTCGCACCTTAAGACAGGCTTTGGAAGCCTATCGGAAATATAAACACGGGTATGAAATTTGGTGAAATTTACTACGCAGGCAGGGCAGCATTTCGGTTAGGAAACGATGGTTTAAAAAAAAACGTTTGACATAGGCAAAAACGGTCGAATTATTGAGCAAATGTTTAGATACCTGCCTCGCACATTTGACAGACTCTTATGAAGTCCACCGAAAATATGTTTGCGGTGTCAACGAGTACTGCGTCTAAATGGATGCTGTACATTCGGAAAGCCCTGTTGTCTAAAGACATCTGTTGACAGTTTTGTTATCGCGTGATGCTTTCTGAGAAAAGTTACCATTCGGTTTTTTGTGGAATTCAAAGGAATCCGGTGTTCGGAGAATTTTTAACACTTACAGTGTTGGCATACAGTACACAACAAACCAAAATTTATGATTGGCTTATGTGACTCCGAAAATCGTTTAAAACAACAATTCAGAAATTTTGTAAACAACAATTGGGCAGCGCTTATTAGTGGGCATGCAAAAGGTTAACCTTGAAACCTCCAGCTTCAGTTTTCCCTGCGTTCAACCGGAACCCAAACGGCATTACAGCATTCAAGACATCAGAAGTTAATTTATGGGTATTTGAATAATCAGACAAGCGGTTGTTAAACGCCCAAGATGCTAATCTCCAGATTGCGTTAGGCATACTCCATCTTTGTTGACAAGGTTTTCTCATGTAGCTGTGTATTTTCTGAAAAAATAATGACTTAAACATTTTTTGGCCATGTTCATTCAAACGATTTCCTTGTCTCGGCGCAAGACCTGCTTTTGAAACTGTTTGAAAATGTACCGGTTTTATACCGCTTTTGGACGCAACAGGGCAGAACATCCGGACAAACCGCATGAGACTGTCCTCTGTGACGGGAATTCCACTCGCTTCACGCGTAGGCATCTGACTATAGGTACCGTGAGAAAACTTGAATCTCTTGAAGTAGCCATAATCAGTTATGATATCGACGCATCCAAGTTAACTTCTAACCTTTGACTGATATGTCTGCGCTAGTAAGGTAGAAATCGCATATATGTAAATAAAACACTTGTTAGTTTCCATATTTAGAGTTGCTCATTAATTCGCAGAGCTGCAGCCATATCGGAATCTTGTCGCTTGCCTAGATGGGGCGATTTCATTCCCATAAAACACTGCCTAGGAGTTGAGGCCCAGCAAATGATTTGTAGTTACATAAATTGAGGAACCTTTTTCTGTGCAGTCTAAAAACATATCACCCGAAAAATGAATACCGGGGTCACATCCTTCATACCCGTCTGCTTTCTTGGCAAAGGATCTGATGGGAAGTGACGGTGATTTCACCTGTCACCATGGTCACCGTGGATTACTTTAAAAGGTGATGCTGATTTGGCTGGTCACGAAGAGTTTGCGATTATCCTCGATTTTCTTCTGTCATTAAGTTGTTAAACAAAATGTTACAGCAACAAGTTTCTGTTGTTTTGTATTTGTTGCATATAACGACACCTATTTGGGCATATACAATATAAAGCCTAACACCAGTGAGCGAATAGAATAATGAAACCGTTCTTTGTCTATTTTGGAGGCACAGTTCTTCGAAAAGTCTAATCGGCGTCAGAAAAAGGTAGTTGTAGTTGACTTTTGTCGACCGCGATGAGGGATTCTTGTTTATGACACTCCGCACTTTTCCCGTTGTAATTTTGCATAAAGCGTCTTGTTCTGGAAAGACTCAACATAGGCGGAAAAACCGGGTCGTCCCAAAAGTGATCACAAGCGTTCAGATTTTGCCGATATTATTTTGTTTGTCCCTCGAACATTTGAACAGTTTATCAGGTCAGTCCACAGCCATGTAAACCAATGTGGAATTTTGTGATAAACCTAAAGGTTTCACAACATTCTTAAGGTTGTAGAAAACCTTATGAAAGCAGTCAATCAATCTTACCTCTGATGGGACTCTTCACTTCGGCATGGTCCTCGGGTTTCAGTCCACCTTATATTCTACTTGAACGCAACCTTGACAGAACCTGACAATCACTTTCATTTGTACGCAAATTTGTTTTTGACAAAGAACTCAACTGCACTGAAATAAATCTATCGTTTATAAGGATCTCCTTCAGCTGGATATTACGTAACTAGTCGACCCGTTTTTCGGTTCACACAATATTCGACATACCGCAGTACTTTGATTAGATATTATAAACTGTTACACAAGAGCAATTTCAGCTAGATTCAGCTAAGCCTCTTATCAGATCTAAACTATTGACCGGCATTGCTGACAGGATGAAATCTCTTGAAAATTGCCAAATCACCAACAAACAACAATCCATAGTTAGCTCAGAGGGAGAATAAGTCCATAAGATGAGCGAAGCTTCAGTCTTGGACACAGCTCATGGTGCTGAACAGCCTCTCGGGATTAACGGTCATATCCAACCAGTGGACGGAAGGTATCAGGTTCGTCACACTCTGAGTTTCTTGAGGTGCACATCGCTGATGAATCCTAGTAACTAATAAAAGCCGTGCATTGCCTTTTGCTCAGCATGGACTGGCTTCAGTAGCAGGATGAGTCCTCTACTGATAACGTAACAAGTTGTTACAAGTTGTTGTTACGATTTGGTGCGTTACAAGATGTAACCGTCTAGTCAATCTTTTGACGGAACCTAGAAAGCAAGCGTTGAATAGAGAAACATGAAATACACGAACGACAAAATTACTTGTTTAGATACCTTGGCGACAAGTAGCAATAACAGCTAGGTGGAGTGCCCAGCTGAACATTGCATCAGGAACTCGGGAGTTGTTGAACAACGGGCATTTATTTGACGGCACTCGCTGCATGTTCTTATTTTTCATAATATGCATTTCGGCAGAATTTCCACATACATAAGTCTTGTCGACTTCATCCACTCACGTCTAATCGGAATTTTAAATATGAAGGAACTGGGTGCTGAATGCAAACATAGTATACGATGAATCAAATATTCTTGTAAGCTTATGTCCCACGATTTGATTTACAAATAGCTCGGAATTTTAATCTGATATGAAGGCAAGCCTAAAAATTGGTTTAGTTTCTTCAGATCTTTCTGTGTATTAGTTAAAATGGAAAAGGTAACCAAAACTTTGGTTGCGGGTTAATTGGAACGTTCTGACAGCCAACAACTCATTAGGTTTGGCGCTGTCCGAAAAAATGGATGTAGGAACGTCGAAACCGAGGCGCTCTTTATGGAGCACACTTTGCTGGTGAGAATCATCTAGAAGAGGTTCAGTTGGAATTCTGGTGACTCTAGCATTAAAACCAAATTGGTTTGCGAATAAACGTATTTCCCTTGGAATGCACCCAACTTCTTTCGAATGCCAAATTTGTCGGAACAAACTATTGAGTTATTTCCTCACAAAGGTACTATTCGTATGCGCTGATATGTTTAAGTGTGCTGAAATGAATGAGAGGGCAGTAAAAACCCCGAAGGATCAAAAGTGACTATCACTCAAAAACATTTCTTGGCTTTAATTTGCATGTATTTTCAAGAACTCTGAGACGAACGCAAAACTCAGTAGAGCCTAAATGTGATCATTGGAAGATGAGTGTTTTGCAGTGCTTATAAGAATCGAAGTCTCGGAATTTGAGGTGCTTGCATCTGCAGGAACTCAAACTTTATCCGTGCCAGACCTCCTTTAGGAGATGTTTCCCACTGGATGTTAGATGTATGGAGTCGCGATGTAATGGATGACAATGAAAAGATTTACACCATGTTAGAAAGAAGGTCAGTCGTTGTATAAACGCACACTGTGAATAACCTTTTCGATGACAATAGTCTAACTCAAATATCGAGGCAATCCAATCGTAATGTGGTAAAAATTGTTGATGAATATTTTTGCAACACAGATGAATTTCAAAGCACCTCATGTTCATCGGTTAGCGTAATCGAGGAAAACAGTCATAAACAAACCACACAAATTTCGATGAAATCAACTTTAAGAACTGGCGTATTTGGTTTTAGCTCTTTCGTGTCTCTTAAGCTTTTACACTACCGAAATAAACTGTTCACGTACGTCCTCTTGACTTCTCTTCCAAACAGCTGTCGCGTGTGTCTACATATGGCATGTCTACGCGGACCAGTCAATGGAAAGGAAAACAAGAGTATTCAAAGCCTTAGTTGACATTGGAACACTTACCGGATTGCTCTCGTCTATTGGATTGTCGATAACAGCTTGCTTTCAAGTACGGATCATTCTGGAGCATTTTCGATCCGTTTTATTTACATAAAAACCTGATTATATTCGCAGCATGGCTGTGGTGGTCTCCTGTGAGAGGCATAGCAGGAGGACCTCCCGAATGTTCTCTGACCTCGAATTGTTTGGGATAACGTGAAAACAAATTGCACTGGGAAGGAACGAGTGATTCCTATACGCTTGTGGACTTTTTTACGGTACTTGAAAACGCCTGTGTGTATGATTTTGGGTGTAATTGGACGGTGTGCTCCCCTGAAAATCGGACGGAGCGCGAGAAATGCAGAATGAACCAACATTTAGCGGAAAGCATTGGTTAAAACACATTGCACTTTTTGCGTTTCTAGAAAGGAGACTCCAAATTACATCCTCCTGCATGGTTTTCAACTTTATTTGTCAACTTACAATAAGTCCAAGCTCACGTAATTATTGTGAAATTCGACCACTTGGGAAGTAGTCCAATGTCTATTCCTAAGTCTTCATGGTCTCTGTTTGGGACCGCATGGCACTATAATGACCCAACCAGGATAACCCACGACCAAGTGTATTTCATCTACCAGATAGGCCCTGTGGCAAAACGCGCAATGTATTGTCCTTTACAGCTTACCCCATTTGTTTTTACACAATTCCCAGCAGTTTCTTTTCGACTCAGCTATCGATACGCATTACGGTGTTCTAATGCTTGTGGATCATTCCATCCATCCACTGTATCAATTTTGTAGTAGGATCGCTTGAGTCGCTCATCGTATGATAAAATATCCACTAGAATTGTTATGTAGGACTCGTTTTTCTTGCTTTTTGACTATTAATTACGACAATAGGCTTCGGAATTTGCCGACGGGTTTGCGCACAACCACTGCCATCAGTTGATGGTTTTTATTGCACTGCATTTTGCACAACATCCTCTTCCGCTAACCGGTCGTCAAAGCTATTTAGTCCCTCCGCTGCCTCAACAGCCATCAGTAAGTGTGTCTTTCAGACGTCAAGATCTAGATCAAATTCTCACATAAAGACTTTCTCCTAAACTGTTTTTCTTAATCGTATGTGCCTGTATTGTCGCACACTTTACCACAGTGCTTACTTTGAGTCCTGGTCGTTTTTAGATGTTTGTCCAAATTTTTGCACCGCCATAGGTTTCTAATGTTCCCATCGTGCATTATATCGGTGCGGGCGTGGCATTCGCGGGAGCAGTTGGGTATATGATCGTTGTCAGCGTAATTTCAAGCCTTTATCTGGGGCAACCAGTGGTAATTTGTGGCCTTCGTTGGTTGCTGGCTGTCTGTGGCTCCCTAGCTGCTTTATCATGTAAGTTGCAGCAAAGTAATCTATGTATCATACACACCCAAACACTCGTCATGCTTAGTTTCAGGCTGACATTATATAACTATCAATTACAGAAACACTCTTCAAGCATTTGTCTTCGACAGAATTTATTAGAACAACTTCTCCAAACAGGCATTTAATAGTTAAACTGCGTTAAAGATGAGAAAATCCTTTCTTGAGGTTCCTGAAATTTCTACATGCACAGAGTAAAAATGGCACAGTAAATACCAGATTAGTTCTGAGGCAATATGGCGAGTGAACGTAGTATTTGTTAGTCCGCTTGTTTTGGACATACGCCAATTTCTAGATTGTGAACTATATTGATGGTGGTCGCCACTCAAGGAGCCGGTCGGTACTTACTCATTTGGTGTGGTTTGCGTGACTGAAGGGTGATTGGGGCTATATCCTGTCTAAATGAGAGCTAATCACATCGCTGATTAGCCGCGCGTGGTCAAATAGTCAAGTGGGTAAACTAATAGCCGGGAAATTGCAAGTTAGGGACTCACTGCTGTTTTGTTAAATGCGCGCCGTTGCGGAATCCAAGGGAGAATAAAATGGCCATGGTGTGTTTCTCGGCTTTTTAGTGCTCTTAGGAACCCGGTGGTTATTCCAGTGGACAGTAATATCAGCAGCATTATTTGCTGGCCTGGTATTATTTTAGTGGTGTCAGACTTCAAGACATTTGTTGGGTTCAGTCGCTTATTATACTTTTACGCGGAAAACCATGTGCAAATTCACGTGTATATTGCCTAAGTTCGAAGTGAACTGTCGATGGTCCTTTGAGGTCTCAATAACATTCAAGGGAATGCATGTGACACACGTGATTTGTTCGTCATACTGGCTTCATTACCAATTAGCTTACTAAGCCCACTCACTCATTTCCCTGTTACAATGCAAACGAACGAGTACTTTTAAGCCTATGCAGGTCTCGTGTTGGCAACACGGTTTCGTCGAGTAACAGCTGTCCGGTGTTCAAATCCTAAACAACCAAGAATATGCGCAACTGACAGCTAAACCCACAGAGTACGTAATTTACTAAATCCGCTACGGGTAAACCAAAATGATAGCGTCAGGAAATGAGTGGAAGCGGATGTGAATTTTAATATGAACGAGGATGATGCTCGTTGGTTTGTTCAATAAGTCGCGTAATTTTGTCACAAACCGTTCATCACCAATCCTAGGGGCATCTTTACTGCACTGTTAGGGACCGGAGAGGAATGCATGGATGCGTCAGTTTGTCAGCGTAAACTATTAGGGTACCGATGCCTCCTAGTCCATTCCCCAACAGCGCGATTATGCTAATAACATATCGTTGAAGCATTTGCTTTCAAACCACTTAGGTCAGCCAGCAGACCGAAAACCACCCATGCTTCCGGAGCTGCCGACATTCGCCCCATTAACACCAAAGTCGATGAAAACTCCGAATGTCTAGTTGTTGTTTGATTTATTTACCGGGTTCGGCAACTGTGCTTCAACGAAACTACGCCGGTCAGAAAACCAGTATCACAGAAGTGTAGGAATAAGCTGGCGTTGATGAACTTGCACGATGACAGACGAATCTATCGATTAGATGAGACAAAAATGTATTCAGAATGGTAGACGTTAAGGGCAACGTTCCTGCAAATAAGCAAGTTTGACTTTCTTGACCCAAAAATCAAGTAGAACGATTATTTGGAATGGTCGCTGTTCGAGATCGCCGTGCAAATGTAATAGACGTCAGCATAGTCTCAGATGGGCGTGGAGTCATAGGGTGAAATGAGAAGAAGCAGAAGTATGGTGCTTATGAACATTCCCTCGCCATAATCTCAGCCCTACATGCCATCGGTTGTGATATCGACTTTTTGGTTCCCCAACCGATGATCATCTCTTATCGAGGGATCTGCTTTCCTCAATCCGCTAAGGCTGTTACTGGACTGGGACTTCCTAAGGTCGCAGTCAGTGACTTGTGTTTGCTTGCCATTGTGGGCTCTCTGCGTACTTATGACACTTTTATGCGTGGCACATGGCGTTGAAGGTACATCTTTTGCCATTTACTCTCACACCATACCCAGTATGACGGTCACTCTGTGCCTGATGTGCGAGTCTTGACTGTGCTAGCACACACTGCGCCTTGAAGTGCATTCACCATTGTTTGTCCTTTCTTTGGTTGTTGGTCCTTAGACGCGTGTTCCCATACCAAAATCTTTACATACTTTGGGATTCACCTCATCAGACTAGCACTGTCCTTGGCATGATTTCGAATGAAACGTTCCTCTCTTTTCTCCCATATTCTCCTGTTACTCTTTCGCATTCATTGCTTGCACTCACTTTTTATGTTTGTGACCATGCTCTTAAAAATAAATGATAATAGTAGTAAAAGTCAGATGGTCAAAAGCTAGTGGGAGTGTACAAATTGGATAGGTTTCATAGGTGTGGGCTCAAACCCCCATGGAGTTTTTAAGAAACAAACAAAGAAGACAGAAACAACTGTACAGTGTTCCTTGGCTTGGTCGCACAGAATGATTAAGTTTTATGGTTGGAATCACGACGAAAGTGATGTTGACTCTCAATGCCAGTCGCCATCGAGGCGCACGCAAATTCATGCTTGAACTCGTGATGATACTTTATTTAGACCTTCAGTTTCGTGAAATTGTGAAATTATACTTCAGAATTTCATCAGTTCTTGTATTGATGAAAGTTGTTTTTGTCGCTCAAGTAAGGAATAACTTACTTTTGTTCTCCGTCGCAGCAGACTTGAGTAACATCAATTATCTTTATAAGCGGCACCCCCTTTTGTCCATGATTTTGTGGTCCTTTTTTATTAATACTAGATCCACTGCGCTACTGCATACATAAGATTGGCCACTCTGAGTTAACATCTAATTATATTGTTTAGAAGTTTTTTTATGTTTGAGTGCCAATGATCACGGTTTATTTTGAACCTAAATTTGTAACCGTTTTAGTTATTGTAGATACTGAACTTTTTCTCAAGAAATCTCTTTTCAGTTCTAATTTGCAGAATAATCGGACGTGGCGATGAAGTTGATTGGATCCCTGATCCATCACTGCTTGACTCTGTGAGTGATAAATCATTTGCTATTTTCTTTATCCTAATTTGGAAATTAGTCCGAGATTTATCCAATAATGTTCATGTAAATTTCGCCAGCTTAAGGAACATGTTTTAGGGTGAATGATGAGTCATATTGATCGGACACACGTGCGTGCGAAATAAACAAAACATGACTTTGGTTATCAACCAGAATTTGAGTAAATGGAGCTGAGTCGCGCATGAATACGTAGATTTGGATCATTCTTTCGTTGTATGTCACGATTAAGCATTCTCCTGGCAAATGTGTGGAACGGAACCCTAATCTATAAACCTTGGTCAGCCTCGCGACAAGTTGCTCCCGTACATCTACACTGATCCCGTCAACTGGCTCTAACCATTCACTCATTTAATCTAGAATTCGGTTGGTTTATGGCTCTAGACGCTGACTACTGCGGACCAAAATGACTCAATGCAAATATGTGGGAACCAGGAGAATAAAATAAAATACTGCGTAGAAAATTCCCAAAATCTCATCTGCAAAGTATTTGCTTGCCTAATGTCGCCCAAAACCTCAACGCTCGGTTGACGCGTTCTTCCCTGTAGAGCATAGCCTATATAAATAAATCAGTTTAAGTATTAGGACTACGGCTGCGTTTTTGATGGGAAGCATCCGAAAGCCAGTGCTCCACGGAATTGAAGATTCCTGACATCAATATTCACTCAGTTTCCTCGGAACTTTGTAACCTAGCTAGGCAGGCAGGCCTCCCAGGACACTGCCAGTAGCTGTGTTTATGTTACTCCGTGTCCTTCTGTTTTCCAACAAATGTAGGGAGGACTGTATTTACGATGCATGAGTTAGAACGATCGTTTGAACCGCGTGCTGCGGCTGATTTTTGGCCTACCAGGAAAATAAATTTAAAACTACTCTTTGTGTGCTACTTTAACCATTTCTGAACGTTCATAGAATATCCTCATCAGAAAAATTGTTGAGATTGCTGCTCTTACTTATAAAGCGGTGACGGTCAGTTTCCCGCATCAACAGATAAACTATGTCCAGGGCAAATGCGATTATTGTAAACGGCGCCAAAACTGGCTTCGGTTTACCTAATGGTGCATCGCATCAACCAATCAAGTGCAGACAATGGTTTCGAGCACTAGCATACTCACGGCAAACACACAAGTGAACGGATCTCAGTAAGTGGAACGATTGCGTTAGTGGGACTAAGATGCCATTCTCAGGGTACTTCTAAACTTTCATTGGTGTTTTGTAAGAGTATACATTTTCTCCAACCTGCACAGCATCCGATGGGTGACATTTGTCAACCACATATCGATTATACGCTTGACGTTATTGTTGTCACACATAAAGCAGTGAGACGGTAGAGATCCTATATGTTCATTTTCAGCTTCGTCAAATTAAAGCAAGTGAAGAAAAAAACTTTAGAAAAATGATGACTGAAATTGGAAAAAGAAAGATGTTTGCTCATAGGGTACACTTGAGAAGATTGATGTACATCGAAATCGAAACAAACGTTTGTTTGGTGGTTGAGCACAAAGATTGTGGAAAATGGACTGCCTCAGTAAAATTAACATTTTTGAAAAACAGTCACAAATGAATGAGTAAAATGGCAGAGATATCGGAATACGAAAAAAGGAGGTATTAGTATACATTGTCTACTTGCAAGTCTGTTGGGTAGCCAAGACACGCTGAAAATATTTCAGTCAAATATTATGTACTAAAAAGTGCGTAGGGCATTCTACTCAAAAGTAGTTTATCTGAGAAAACTGGCTTTTCTACATCACATGAAGAAATGAACGCTCTGAAGCGGAAATTGATAAGATTCAAACTCAGCAAAATGTGGAAGTTCTTGAGGGATCCTGAAAGCGACATTTTTTACACTCAAAGATCTGTTTTGAATTATTTATGACAAAATCCATGCAGCGCAACAAACATTTCATTCATGGGCTTCAGCTGCCACCTGAATGCAACGTCATCTGCGATTTATTTAGCTGTGATCCCCTTTAAAAAGCCTTTGACGAATTTTACTCTCACGGCGAACCTGTGCGCCACTGAATTAAAGTTATATGAAATATTGACAAGATTTCAAATGTTCATTACAGGTCACTTTAAAAAACACCAGTCACTAATCAGAACGGGGGGAGAAAATTGCTGAAAAAAGGCATTGTGATGACCAATCGACTTGAAAGATTGCAAACCTGGTCTGAAATACAACTTACACTTTTTGCTGAGCCTTTTTCTACTTTCATTGAAATTTGGAAACCATAAGATGAAAAACCCAAGGTATTTGCGAAAAGAAGGTGAAGTTGCGGACTATTTGTTTAGTCTGCCTTGAATACAGTTATAAAGCAGAAGCATTTGCTGTGATCAGTGTCAACTGTTTTATCGCCCATTAGGAAAGACGGCTACGAACGATCTCAAACACATAAAGACGGAAGGCGCTGAACGGAATGTTTTAGTTTGTCCACTGAAACCAACTGGTCACAGAGATATTTTACTATCGTGAAACGGTTGCTGCGTGACTTCTTGTTTTCTTATCTATTTAGTTGGTAGGATTTTTCTCCATGATCGTTGATTCTCCAAGCGTTCCGCTCGGCTTCTAATGACTCACTTTCCATGCCAATGCAGCTAAGGTTGGTAGGAAATGCCGAAAGCTTCGATGTAACATCTCCTTGAAAGTCCCCTCTGACATGATTTAGTTAACCGGCTTGATTTTCCAGTCATGTTTTATTTGAAGTTCGAGTGTATTTCGCTATTTTCGTAAAATTTGGGTTCAACCTGAAGATGAGGTTGACTGAAACTTGAGAACGGCCTCTATCTGATGAGCCCCGAGGAAGGCACGACCCGCTGTGTGATGTCGAAGAGCTTTCAACAAACGTTTTAGCAGTTAACTCTAAGAGTTTTCATTTTGTCGCCCAGTTTCTCTATATTCTAGTTAAATCCGACAAACAGAAGTATCAAGATTTTTGTAATGGATTTTTCAAATTTCTCACTCCACAGGAGACTACAGTAAACGTTGTGGTTTTTTACCTGTTACCTGCTTCTGAATGGACCTTGGGTCTCACCATCACTCTGTTCTTCCTTCTTTGGGTGCCGGAATTTCTCCGAATTGATTTCCAGGCGCCAATAGTGAGTCTATCTGTTGAGATACTGAAGCAACCCACCAATACGGAGAACTTCACTTGGAGTGAATTATGAGCAAATGCTTGATTAACATTACACGACCCTCATTGTGCGTTACCGGTCAAGTTTAATGTTGGCATATTTTACAAGAAATCCGTTATAGCAAAATGGCACACTGGATAAGCCCGCCTTCTGCGAACCTCCTCTTGCTTACTGCATACAAACATGTCTTACTGGTATTTAACGCCAGAAAATGCATGCAAGAACAAACTTCACTATCAAAATTGCGCCTTACTATAACGAAAAAAATACAATTTGATTGGAGCATGTGGAATGCAATTACGTTCCCCTGAGGCATCGGTCCAAGAAGATCAGTTCTGCTTGCCGCGGTGTCCGTGTTTGAAGCCCCCATGGAAGAACGGATGAAGTAAATATTTTCGTAGCTTCTACTTCTGCAGTGCCATACTACCAGTGATTATCCTTCATTCGTTCAGTGGATTTACGGAGTGCGGGTGAATCCGAGGTGAAAGGTTGCCACCCGACGAGTGTGCAACTACAGCATTACTTCTCATCCACCAAGCCCTCTTCTCGGCTAGATTTAGAAGTTACAGTCTCTAGTTCGGAGAAGCATCTTGCCATGCAGCCAGCTGCAAATGAGGTGACTGATGACAAGCGGTAGTTGCACATATTCAGTAACTACAGCTATGTGCAGTAGGCAAACAACTGGTGCAGAAATTAATTATTTGAAAATTTCGGAAGTGTTATTCGCCTGATTTAGGGAGAACTGTGAGCTTCTCGCAGTAAAATCAGCCTCCAAATCCTTCATTAATTGTAGTGAAATAAACACTAGTATTTCTGTGTGATCACACACACATGATTAGACTGAGAGGTATGTTAATTCTCTCACATATTTTGTATATTGTGTACAATCACATGTATCCAAGATGAGTTCCCTCTATCTTTGACTCTGTTTCCTGGATGCAGTTTTCGCAGGCCATCACTATCTCATTTGATCAAAGCCATAGAGGTGTGTCTACCGATGGATCAAGGTTCAGCTCTAGAATGTCACTGATTGATTATACGTCCAGGCAAAATATTCTTTATTCACTATGAACAATCATCTAATTTTCAGACTTTATTTTTATGACTAGCCATGAATATCCTTGAGCGGTATTGAAGAAATTTTGGGGAATTTACCGTGACCGTAATAATTATTTCGACATATCTTTCTTGCATACCTAACCGGGTAATAACAGGCGCGAGAAGGAAAGCTTCCACTTTTTTCATGGCGACTTTTATAACTTAGCGTACAAAAGTGTAATCAGTTGTGACATTTGTTTGTAAAATTCAACAGCAAATCTAAAGTATGCGTACTTTTTCTCCCAAACTAAGAGGCTATTTAGTTCGTAAGCTAGAATTCTCATACCAATCTTGTTGGTTCCAGTATATTGAGTTCACTATTCAACAACTAGTTTTCACGCAAAGTCTCAAACTCTACCCAGAGACTACACAGTTCCCATTTACGTTGAGTCTCAAGCAGAAATGGACAGAAATAACAGGATACTACAGCTGGTTGATTCATTTACCATGGTTCCCATCAAGTTCATTATCGCACGATATTGTGTAGTGTGCCGTGTGGCAGCAGATATTGCCCTTTGCTGACCGCATATTTTGGTCAAAGTTGTTGGAGTATGGGCGAGTTAATTTTTTATCACCGGTTCAACTTCTACAGTGAAGGATTTTCCAAAGTCAACTCTACTGAAGATGAAATCTTCGCAGCCACGTCGTCCGGGATCACGGTTGGCGATACCAGTATTTTGCTCAGCTTCAGATAAACATACTTTATTTACAGGACGAGCTTTGTGGAAGAGACTGAGGAAGAGAAAGGGGAAGTGAGCGATACCTCTGGCCTACTACAAGCAACCATGGTATCTTTAGTTAAAAACACAAATGTGGAAATTCTGATTTGGATAGCAAAAAGGATTAACTGAGTGAAATCAGTATAAAGTAATGTACTCCGTTATGTTGTTGGAATTTCATAGACCATGCCCAACGAGCTTACTATCATTTATTGTCGTTTGAACTCAATGGGCCGATAGAATTCCCTACAAACAGTAGTCACGATTTCGGCATTTTGGGGCTATAGCCTTATGTGGAGATCCTAAAATTTTAGTGGAAACTTCATCCTGCAGGCAAGCCAGGTTTTGTTTAGAAGCAACATCTTGCCTTTTGGAAAATTACTTCACTCGCACAACCAATCAGCAGATGACCATCTGAAATGAACTCTGTGATTGTTGGAAGAATGCTGCCATATCCTGTCCGAGTGAGAGTTAGTCACTCGGCTGATCGGGCACTGGTGACCGAATAGTACAGTCTGAATGCTAAAATTGAGATGCCGTGAGTTCATGAGATAAGGTGTAGTCTGGTGAGAACTCCTAGTCAGGATGAGGAAGCTGTACTGTATATTTTAAAGTTTTATATGTTTTGGACTCATTGACAATGTAAAAGCTAAGTTTATGATGAGATTACACCAGTATTCTACCGAAATTCGAATAGGCTCTTTCCTGTCAAGCCATTCGTGCTTGGAGACGGGACCTCCGATATATTTCGTGTATTGAACGTTCAGCTGAAAAGCAGACAAAGCGCCTAAGACCTGCAAATAAGCGAGAGTTTTAGGAGTTAATAGTAAAACTGCAGATAAATTGGTCTTAAGAGATCAACCGAAGTACGGATCCACCTTTGTGTTTCAGATAAGACCATGGAAGTATCTCGATTCAATGGAAATTTCAAGATCTACGGAATTCGAATGCCAATGAACTGAACTCACTTACTACCGGCCCTTGTTTCTCACTTTCACTGACATATACTCATAACCAAGCAAGCACTTTTGTGTTTGGATTGAAAACAACGTTCCTAATTGTTTCATCCATTCAGTTATGCTTACGGAAACCAGCTGATTTCAGATGGTGACGACGTCTGTTGGACATCTCAGATGTTCAGAGTGGTCATATAACTTTTTGGTAGTCCGATTTTTTCCCTGTTGAGTCTAATGTCAATTATATATTTCGACCAGTCGGTGAGGCGGATACAACTAAACAAAGGAAAAATTATTCAGTGTTCCCTTTTTTATTCGTCAAAAATATTTCTAAAAACACTTCTGAGCACTTTCTCTTATAAATGCGTGTAGTTATTAGATCTTTATCCTTGTGACATGTAAGTATAGTGAACGTGCAACAGTTTCTTCAAGTGTGCTTTGCTGTTTTATTACTTTACACTCTGATAGTTAAATCGCTCCCTTTGAGTGCGCCGAGGATACCGGAAATTCACCACAAAAGAGTCAAATCAACAAACCACAAAAACAGCGTAATAATTCTGGTTAGACAAGTACGACGGATGGACCACCAGCGGTCTAAAGACTAAAGACATTTACAAGAAGCAATACATGCACATGCATACATGGTCATCTCAGGTAGAATCCACGCCGTCAGTTGTGGATTATTTTCTGTCCGCATGATAACTGATCCGCTGATCATTATAAATTTGACGACAGTACAATCACGAGGAGTAGTATTATCTTCTCGTTACTGCTTGTGGATTTATAGTTAAGCGTTTTACCAGATATGTTATAAACGGAGCAAGACCACCTGTTAGCAAAGTGTAACCGCAGGTGCACCTAAAATGCCACACCGGTTCATGTATATAGCACCCCGATAGTTCACACTTGAAAAACAAAGGGGTACTCTTGAGCTGAACCAAGTGGAGGACAGCAGACTTCTCATGGGCAGAGGTTCTTATGTGCAAAATTGTGCCAGTGCTTCTCAGTGAACTCTCGAAGGTATGGTTTCGTGTTTTGCCATGCAGAAAAAGGAAGAGATGGGGTGGGAATGTGTCATAAACGCTTTACAACCAAACAGTCGTCTGATGAATACCTCATACCTGGATCTTCATAAATGCGTGATCACTCCGGGACACGTCAATAGATACCATAATCTCAAAGTTTCATGAAAAGTGCTTATTTAAAAATTTCATTTCTGATTGACAAATTTACCTGACACTCGCCTAAAATTGCCCGATACTACGTTAAACTGAGCCACTTAAAGTCTATTTTTGGACAAGCTCTTGGAGAAATTATGAACAAAGCGCTTTTTCACCTGTTCGTTATTCCAGGAAGCCCTGTCCAAACGCCTCTAGCATTTCTTAAAAACGGTGATAACATCTCAGAAAACGGATGCTGCCTTGCATAGACAAATGCACTTTAAATTAAACGAGAACCTAGTTTTTTGACAATGTCAAGAAACACGAAATTCTTGAGTAATGCAAATACACATACACAGATGTTAACTCTCTATGACCTGTACTTCGTCTTCAATGTATATAAAAAACTCTTATCAGTAAACAGGCTAATTTTCACGGTGCTGCGTTCATCGAATCCCGAGCCTTGCGAATTATTTCACGACTTGCTCCCGAACTGTAGGTTTGCCCGACTGATTTTCGGATCTTCATCTTTTGTGGCAAGGAATCATCTCCGTGGGCTCGCTTATTCACATTCCATATATGCTGTGCACCTTACCGGCACATCGCCCGGCTTTTTCAAGGGAATGACCTCAGTAACTCTCCACCTGGTGAATTCAAGCAACTCCATGTGTAGGTAGAAACTTTGAGGTTGGTTCAAACCCATCCACTAAAGATTAGCCTGTAGCTAAGCGAAAATTAATTTCTAGGAGTCCAAGAATTACACCAGGTATTGCTGACGGATTCAACGCCGTATTCTTTTATAAAAGCATTCATTTGCACGTTCGTTTGTTCGTTGTTGATGGTACCTAACCTCTCACACGTTTCGCACGCAAATAAACACGGCCGTTTTAAAGGTAACATTCCGTTTATCATCTCCATAAGCAATATTTCCAACTTTTTGAGAAGCATTTTTACGCTATCAGTTTATCAACTGTTGGCCGCATTTACTCATGTACGGCGTGACTAAATTCTCCTCTAGATTCATGGGTATACGAGCGTTTACATCGTCGCTGGTTGTCATGAAAACGGAAATGAGTATGTCTTCACATACACTTATTAGGCGCAGTGTAAATCAGCTCATTGCGGCGACGACGGCCAGATATTTGTTGAACAGGCACGAGAAAAAAAGACTATCAATAATACGGACATGCCCGGCGGAAGTAGTGACAAGTAGTTTAAAAATGACTTGTTTTAAACTGGATTTACCCCCGTGCGCGTCACAATCACCCACAAGTGGGGTGACCCGGGTCCGGCTGCCCTCCAAAGAGCGCAGCCTGGCCTAGTTCGCGATGGCCCTTTGTCTAAACCATACAGAGGTGTTTAAATGGTATGGGGCGACCTTTTATCCGGACAACATTTCTAACGCAACGAAACAACATAATTATCATTTCACCGCCAGGTTTCTTAAGAGGTAGCTAAAACCAAGCATAAAAGTTATCAGCTCCTCCATCTTTGAGCTCTAATGTGACGGTTATCAGTCAGTTTCCTTGAGCTGTTCTGTTTTGTATGCAATGATTTTGTTAGGTGATCCGTGGGCATTCGTCAAATAAAGTGAATAAATTTCCTTGACTATTCACAGAGTTATATCTGACTGAACGCAAACTTATGATAGCAATTTAGTCGCTAATCTGAACAGTATACCATGCCGTGCATTGTCAAAGAGCGTGATTTTGAGCACATATAGATTCGTCGTCTGCTTTGGGCACACCCCGGCCAAAGACAGTACTATGCAAATCACTTGCCAAGGACTTCCATGTACAGTAATGACTCACGGTTTCTGTCCGAACATCTGTCACACACAAATTAGTTTGGTTAAGTCATGAGTCCCCTTCAGTTTAATCCTCCTTAGTTCAAGTAAACACAGTGGTTGACGGTCACTGTAGTTAGCACTGAACTTCACTGAGAAGTGTTGGTGAAATAGTGTTGGAACATTCAAAACACTCAGATAAGTCTTTGCAATTGCCAGTCATCATTGTCTAATTCCACCAAAGGGCGTAGAAACTCACAACAAAATGAAACCTACTCCGTTGTGATAAATGTCACCTCAATTGTAAGGTGCAGTGGAGCCAGATTTCTTTTTACATGATCTCCTTCGTATATGGCCCACAATTCACTCGTTCATCATAAAAAATATAATGACTCACAAAGTCATTTATGGGCAACCTTTTTAAGGGGTTGAATATTATACGCTGACAAATGTATGCAAGCCGTTTTTTACTAAAACAATTTTATCATAAACAAGACAATGATGATGCACGTGGATTATTGTTATCACCTTACCCTGTTTGTAAAATCTATTGAACGACATAGCTGGGAGTGACAAAATTTGTGATATTATGAGTTTAGCGGCAAGGTTTGGTTCCACACGAAGAACGCAATCCACATCAACAATTAATGCTCAAATCGATCCACTGATTGCTTAGTTGATACTTTCAGCTTTTACAGCTGCAACATTTAAACGCAGGGTGGTTATAAGTCAAAGCTGAGTTATTTAAACGCCATAAGATAAAACTAATGACAAGAAAATAAAAAAGTGATTATCAGGCAGTTAGGATGACGCTTGATACGTCAAATTATGTATTGTGGGGGGTTCTTTCAAGGAAATTGTTGAGTTAGACGGTGAAAGAAGTTTGTAGAATAACCGGCTGTTCAAGAACAATTAACCGCTGTGCAGAAACCAGGAGGTTACCATATTTTCTTCTTGACGTAAGACCTCCCAAAATGTTGATGGAAGTTCTTCAAAAATTTGAGCAGTGTTTGAGACGTAAGGTGATGTTTGATCGGTAAGTTTCTTTCAGGTTTACTTAATTGTAACACCTTGCGAATCCGGTACCACATATAGTTGAAACAGGCTAACAATGCTTGAGTAGGGTTACAAAAGTTAACGGGCGAGAAATCAACCAGTAGTTAAGCGCTTTTAACAACTTACGTTTTGCTTATATCTCCAGGCCACCCATATTAAAGCAAATCTGCGTGATTCTTCCGTCGTGTATAGTGATAAGACCCAGTTGCATAAAAGAGCTCATCCTTTGGCAATTTATCAGTTTTAGGTTTACATTCTCTACTAGCCTAGCAATTGGCTCGTAAGCCCTTCGTCACCATACGAAGAGACCTTACCCATGCGTGACTGCTTGGGTATTACCAAAACTTCTACTCGTCTTGATAAACTGGTTAGTAGCTGTAACGTGATTGGTTGTTTGAAGAGCAACTGTTTGGCCTTTGCGGGACTTGGGTTGCGTTTGGCCTATTACACAAGTACAATGTCGGACGGATCAAACAAATCAAGGAAAGAAAGTCGTCAAAACTAATGTTGGACTGATTGGTCAGAAGACTGGCTGGAGGACAACATAGTAGAAAGACAAGCCTAAAAAATTGTAATAAAGGGAAAAACTACTGAAACTGAGGCACTAAGCGAACCAAACGAACACGAATCAGCGAAAACAACAACCCAACTCAAATCCTGAAAGCTCCAATCCAATTACGCCGAAACAGTACCCAAACAAACAGTTACATTGCAAATACTACCACTACTTGGAAGCCACTATACCGCACACGACTGGTCTCCGGGCATAGTGGGGAAATTTCGCAGGCTAACTTAGAAACGAGGCAGATAAATTGGCTGTTACCTGATCAAAATTCAAGGAACTCACCCAAATTTCCAGCTTTTAATCATACTGCCAAAATTAATCCTTCTCAGGTTTGCAAATCGCAGTCTTTTGTAGCCAGAAACTTATTATGATTTTGGTTGTTTCATCAGTACCGTACCATGCGCGAATACTTGACTCGCCATTTTAATGACGAACAAAAAGGCAAAATTCTGTTTGTTTACGTCATTCACTCTAGGTTTCTTAAGATTTCTTGCTAGGGTTTCGGCTGTGAAACTATGCTTCCTATGTGCGCAGCCTTTTTCGGCGTTTCTTTCATCATAATCCTTGAATAACTCCGATCTTGTAGCTCACATGAAGTGACATTTCTCATTTGATGAGGAATTCTAAGGCATACAACTATCATTGGTCACCTCACAGTTTGAACTAAGTCTTCAGTAAAGCATATCCGGTCTTTCGACATTTATTCTTACTAAGGTCAGAGTTAAACAGCGGAATGGTCATTTATTTGTTTATTGTAAATGGTTTCAATCGAATGCTGTCAAGAGTTCTCCGAAGTCCAAACTAACCTCAAAATATTTACTCCTATCTATCAAGCTCGCACACATAAATGTTCTAGCAAAAA